ACTAAAAGCTCCCTGCACCAAAATCCCTTTAAGAAATGCTGTGGTTTAAAATCCCCATGAAGTCAGAATCAATGTTTCAGTGTTTTTAATCTCATCTGTCTTTGTGCTGTACATCTCCTGTCCTCCTGTATCTGTCCAGTACTGACAGGAAGTCATTTTTTAAATTTATTTTCAGGTATTCTTAATGGTGCAACAAAAGCTCTGCAAACAAAAAGCAAATAAGAGTAATTTATGAATGTAATCTGAGGAAAACAAACACTGAGCAGAATACAGTTCATTCATGTAACTCAGGTAAAGGCTGCACTGCAGACTCTGCAGCGAGATACAGACCAAAGACCAAAAAAGATTACAGAGTGAGTCTGTTAGGCTGTTTTATAGCCTACTTTGTTTATTAGTTATTTCAGTCAGGACCACTTTTGTCAAAAAGAAAACTTTTCTAAATGCAGAATGTTATATTTGGCAGTATCACACTGTACATCTGTCTGTCTCTCTCTGTTTCTCTCTCTCTCGAATTGAATTGAATTGAACTGTTCTGGGACCTCACTGGCCTTCCACCTGCATACATGGAAAGCTTAAGATAAGGAGAGCAGCAGCAAAGAGCCCTAGGGTCCAGAGCAGAGCCTCAGTGACAACACAAAGGACATTGATTAATTCAGATACAGCATTAGTGCAGTGTGTGTTGGACGTGTCGCTGTGAGTGGTTTTATCAGAGGTGCTTCCAGATGTTTCCTCCGAACACACACACAATGTTCGCAACATTAATCAGATTTATTGAGCTGAACCTCAGTCAGTAGATTTATTTTGTTCTTTCTTTTTTAAAAGATTGTTTTTTCCCTTTATTGAACAGCTGAAGATAGAAAGGAAAGGGAGTAGAGAGGGGATGACACGCAGCAAACCCATTATGATAACTTTTTATCATAATCATAATAATTATTATTATTATTGTTTATAAAGCACTATTATAAACAAAAACATTAAAAAATAAAAACATAAACCAGCTGTGAGGATTAGTTGATTAATGAATTTTATCGACAGAATATTAATCTGCAACTATTTAGATAATTAATTAATCATTTTTAGGCAAAAAAAAAAACAGTTTTAAGTTTAATGCAGTCATGTTATAAAATAAGAGTTTGCTGTTTTCTGTTATCAGGAACTGAAGTGTGAGTTTGAGCCTGATGGACACAGTGACCGTTAGGAGGTCTTTGTGTTAAAGTGAGAGATTTAAAAAACTACTGATGCACCTGCGGGTGATTGCAAGCTGGCGCAACTGTGATCCAGCCTCGATTTGGCATGATATTGAATCCTCTCAGTCAAAGTGTCCCTTGCTGAATCTATTGTTTATGAATAATCCTGATTCTGTTAAAAAACATTGCTCTAACCCTATTACTCTCAGTACCATCAGAGCCTGGAGATCCATTCGCTCTATAGAAGGCCGGGCTCAGTTATCATCTCCTCTCACTCCCATCCTTGATAACCCGGACTTCCTGCCAGGCTGTAGGGACCAGGGCTTTAAAGTGTGGAGCACCCAAGGGCTGAAGAAAATAGGTGATCTATTCAATGGCCAGATTTTACTATCCTTTCAGCAGGCAACAACAATTTGGTGTTTATTTAACAGGGACTCACAGTATTTTACAAATTAGATTTCTAAAGTGTAAAGACACCAACTTAAGAATGTCTAATAAACACCACTTCATGTGTGGAGAAGGCCCTGTCCTACAGATAGTAAGAAATGCATTACTTTGTTTTTTACAGAGCTCTGAACCAATCCCTCTTACCTTCCAAACCACCAAAAGAAGACTGGAAGAAAAGACAGGCCGTGTTTAATAGAGGAAATGCCGGACTGGGCAGGAAATCTGGTAATCAGCCATGAACATTCTGTGGTAACCGCCCAAATCTAACAGTTAGAATTGTAACATCGCACGCATATACACCCCCGCTGTCAAAGAACAAAATGACGCCTAAAAATATTTCCCCGCTTTGCTGGAAATGCAAAAAATTCTGAATGTTCTGAAATAAAACGGACTGCTAAACGGGTGTCCCAAAATACGGATGGACCCAATATGTGCCGATACTGGTCTCCCAGATGGCGAATCCTGACAAATAAAACACAGGAAAAAAAGACTCCTTTCACACTATACGAACTTTTTCTGCTAGAAAAGAAACATCCCTACTCTCTAAAATCCAACAATTGGCTCCAAAACAAAAAAATAATCACAACAATTGTTATGAACCTGACATCAATATCATCAACGGCATCCTTCACTCCAAAAAAAAAATAAGATGCTCTAATAAGGTATGGAAACCTTACTTACAGCATAAATTGGGCCCAACGCTGTCCATCACTCCTTGCTAAAA